GAAGAGCTGAGGGACAGCACCCAAGCCCAGAGTTCAGGCCCCAAAACTGGACCCCCCCCCAAAAAAAAAGAAACATTATAGGAGAATTTACATATCTAGAAAAAAACATAAAAATAGCAAAACTCATATGCAAAATAATAGCATTACTAAAATGGGAATTAGAGCAATAAGCATATTTTTTTTTAAATGGTTGAAGTTGCCAGGCACTGGTGGTTCATGCTTGTAATTGTAGCTACATAGGAGGTTGAGATCGGAAGACAGCCAGTTCAAAGCCAGTTCAAAGCCAGTCAGGATAGGAAAGATTATGAGATTCTCATTTCCAATAAACCATCAAAAAGCCTTACGTGGAGCTGTGATTCAAGTGGTAGAGCATTTGTCTTCCAAAAACTCAAGGAAAATACCCCAGCCCTGAATTAAATCCCCTGGGACAACAGAGAAAGAAAAAAAAACTTAAATGTCTACAACTTAGCCACAACAACTGAAAGAAGCTGGGTACTGGTAATGCTGTAATCTTAGCTGCTCAGAGGCACAGATCTGAGGATTGCAGTTTGCTATCTGAGACACATCTCCAGTTAACCAAAGAAAATCCCTAACTGTGGATCCAGTGGTAGAAAACAAGAGCACCAGACTTGAGTGCTACAGGATAGTGTGCAGGCTCTGGATTCAAGGCCTAGTACTGGCACAATGAATGAATAAATAAAACACTGATTACTAAACAGGAAAGCAGTTCTCAAGCTGAGATCCAAAAACTGACCTTTCAGGGCAATTTAGGCAGACAAATACGAGATTTTTTTTTTTGTGGATCAGTTGTGGGGCTTGAACTCTGGGCCTGAATGCTGTCCCTCAGCTCTTAAGCTCAAGGCTAGCACTGTACCATTTGAGCCATAGCACCACTTTGGTTTTTGGTGGTTATATGGAGATGAGTCTCACAGCCTTTCTTACTGGGGCTGGCTTTGAACCATGATCCTCATATCTCAGTCTCCTGAGTAGCTAAGATTACTGGTATGAGCCACCAGCGCCTAACTAAAATATGAGACTCTTATGCTCAATTAACCAGCAAAAAGCCAGAAGTAAGCTATTAGCTAATGTTTTTGATCCTAGTTATCCAGGTGGGTCAGATCTAAAGATCAAAGTTCAAAGCAATCCTGGGCAGAAAAGTCTGTAAGAGTCTTATCTCTCCAATAAGCCACCAAAAATAAGAAAGTGGAGGTCAAGTGGTAGAGCACTAGATCAGGGACAACACCTAGGTCCTGAGTTCATTACAAAGCCAAAAGTGAAGAAAGTGCTAGCGTAGAACAATAAAGTACACAAAGCCTGAGTTCAAGCCCAGAACAGGCAAAATTAAAAAAGAGAGGAGTGTTTCAATGGATAAACAAAACTTTTGAAAGTAATATTATACTTGTCTTGATGACAAAAACTTCACATATTTAAGCATATCAACATATAATAAAAGTAGCCAGACACTGGTGGCTCACACCTGTAATCCTAGCTACTCAGGAGGCTGAGTTCTGGGATCATGGTTCAAAGCCAGCTGGGGCAGGAAAGTCTGTGAGACTCTTACCTTCAATAAACCACCAGAAAACTGGAAGTGGTGCTGTAGCTCAAGTGGTAGAACACTAGCCTTGAGCTGAAAGAGCTGAGGGACAGTGCCAAGGCCAAGAGTTCAAGCCCCATGACCGACCAAAAAAAAAAAAAAATATATATATATATATATAAAGATATGTTTTAAATACATTTCAGTGTAAATCAACTATGCCTCAATAAAGTCATCTTAATTCAGAAAAGAGGGGAGTGACAGTGAATCTCAGTAGATGAGCACGTAAGAGGAAAGCCTTAGTTCAACTATCTGACTCTGGAAAAAAAGAAAAAAGAAAAAAATTTCCATGTGGATGCAAGCCCACATATAAATGAACACAACTGCAATGTGAAGACTCATTAAACATCTTTAATGTTATGTTAATGAATCAAATCTAAATGAAAGTAAATCAATATTTCTCATCTCAATTAACAATATGCATAATTATACTGTATTTAATGGTCTGTCATAAACACAATTACACTTTACAGCTTCTCATGTTAAAATGTTATTGCAGTTAAAGTTGAAAAAATGCCCAACATCCTACCAATATTTGAAAACAATTCATTATAACTTAAATCTAGTACAAGTAACAGTTGAAAAACTCATTCCCAGTTGATACTATTACCAATGACTCACTGGAAAAAAATGTGCACTATTTTGCGGGGAAAGGGGTTGGCTAGTATGTGGCTTAGAGGTAGAGACCGCTGGCCTAGCAAGCATGAAATCCTAGTTTCCATTCCTCATTATCACATAAACAGAAAACAGAAGTGGCTCAAGTGGTAGGGTACTAGCCTTGAGCAAAAGAAGCTTAGGGACAGTGCTCAGGCCAGACTTGGGTTCAAGCCCCAGAACTGCCCCCCCAAAAAATTTTTTTTCAACTGGTATTTTTGCATATTGTAAATAAATCAAACTTATTTCCTATTATAACTAAAGTAATAATGACCATTATTTTCTTCTTTTTCTTTTGGGTAGAAAAGGGGCGGCGGGTCATTGGCCTTGAACACAGGGCCTGGAGGGTATCCCTGAGCTCTTTTGCTCAAGGCTAGCATTCTACTTTGGGCCACAATGCCACTTGCGATTTTCTTGGAGGTTGATTGGAGAGGAGAGTTTCACAGACTTTCCTGTGGGAGCTGGTTTTGAACTATGATCCTCAGATCTCAACCTTCTGAATAGCTAGGATTACAGGCATGTGCTACCACAGCCCTACTCCATTCTTTTTAAAATATTATTAATGCAACCAACTTCAAACTTTAAGTTAAACATACACTTCAAATCTTTTTTTTTTTTGTCAGTGGTGGGATTGAACTTTAGGCTTGGGTGCTGTCCCTGAGCTCTTCAGCTTTAGGCTAGTGCTCTACAACTTTAGCTACAGTGTCATTTCTGGCCTTTTCTGTGGAGTCAATCCCAGGGCCTCATGCATGCAAAGCAAGCACTCTACCGATGAGCACCTTCCCATCCCCTAAAATCCTTTTTTAATGTATTAAAGTTACAACTCTGAAAATATTTAAATTATTTAAAGATATTTAGTATTATTTTCTTTTTTATATAAAGGAAAAAATGAAGCTGAGTCTGTAAGACTCATCACCAAGCCAGGTGCTGGTGGCTCTCACTTGTAATCCTAGCTACTCAAGAGGTTGAGATCTGAGGATGGCGGTTCAAAACAAGCCTGGGCAGGAAAGTCCACGACACTTTGATCTACAATTAGCCACCAGAAAACTGAAGTGGCTCTGTGGCTCAAGCAGTAGAGCTCTTGCCTTGAGCTAAAGAGCTGAGGGACAGAGGCCAGGCCCAGAGTTCAGGCCCCAGGATCAACAAAAAAAAAAGATCTATGAAAGTTAAATCCTCATGAATGGTTGATACACACGATGGAATCCTGGTATTTACAACAATATGAATAATTAGATAATTTAGATAATTATGCCAGGTAAATTAGACACAGACAAGTACAACATGGGAAATTTTAAAATGCTGACATTATAAAAATGAGAAGAGAATGGTAGTTACCAGACACATAGGAGGGAAAGGGAAAGACTGGTCAAGGAGCAAACAGCTCCACTATCACTAAGATAATGTACATTTTAAAAATCTGTATGAAATAATTTTGTTTTCACCATAAACAAATTAAGAGCCAGGCGTCCATGGCTTATGCCTGTTATCCTAGCCACACAGGAAGCTGAGTTCTGAGGATCAGTTCAAAGACAACCCTGGCAGGACAGGTTATCAGACTCTAATCTCCAATAAGCCACTCAGGAAAGTGAAACTGGCTCTGTGGCCCAAGTAGTAGAGTGCTAGCCTTGAGCTGAAGAGCTGAGGGACAGCACCCAGGGCCAGAGTTCAAGCCCCACTCCGACAAAAAAAAAAAGCAATTGAGAGATAAGTATGGTAAATATGATTAAAATATTACCTAATGTGCATATGTATAAAATTAATATACACAATACTTTTTCATTTATAACTTCTTCAGTATTTACCCAAAGAATAAAACGAGGAATATGTGATTTGAAGTCATATTGTCAAGTTCTCAATTACTGATTTCAGTAAGACAAGATTGAGTGGAGCATGCTTCTTGTCTTTGGCTAGTCATATAATAGTGACAGAAAATAAACCTCATTATAACAAGAATTTGATTGATAAAATAACACAGAAAGGAAGGTTACATAACCTTTATGTCTAAATGTCCTCAAACTGATAAATATATTCGAGTTTTTAATGTTGCGTTCGATGTGGAATGTGACACAAGAACTCTTTTACAAGAAATCTACATTTTTATTAAGCCCCAGAATACGCTTCACTATATCGTAGCTAAGATTTCCTTGTTTATAACTTCTCCCTTTATTAAAGCTTCCCTGTATTTTTCCTCAGTGTTTCCCGCCATCTTGCCTGATAGCAGCCATTAACTAAACGGCATTGTCTACTATTTGTATAGGTTGTTAAATCCTAAAAATATAAATAACTCAACTTCAGGTCAAATATATATTAATCGGTACACAGGTGAAACCCTAATCTTTAGCGTAATAAATTATCTTTGATTTATTACTTTTGAAACAAGGGATATATCGAGTGTAGAGAACTAAAGTGGGGGAGGGGAAAGCATGTAAGTAATAAAATTTAAAAACTTCATACATGTTCTTTGATGCTAAATCCAGAGATCATCAGCTTTACCAGCAAAAAAAAAAAGTTCCATTAAAAAACAGGCAATAAATAATATTCATTTTGTTGGGCCCAGCTCGAAAGCGCTACTTCAAAGTCAGGAAAAAGTGGGGAGCAAGACAGACATAAATAAGACAGTACAGGTTTGAAATAGTTTTCGAAAGCGTCTTGCCATTGTTGTCGGCCACAAAGACAGGCGGGACATGAGGGGGCTTGGGTCTGGGGTAGCGAGAACTCGTAGTCCAAAAGAGGGTTTTCGCAATTGCCTTACCTTCCCAAGTAGCGTTTTCGTCCTGTCGCCATCGTCGCGAAGGCTCAGGAATCCGAAGAGACGGCTGTGGGAAGAAACACGGCTTGTTAAAACTCATTTCAGAGAGGTATTTACTGGTCCTTTCCCGAGGGACAAGCTCCAGTCACCACCGCCGGCAAGCTTCAGTTTAGTCTTTCTGAAGAGTGGCGCCAGCCCATCTGGAGCCAACTTGCCCGGCGACAGCTGTCTGTACCTGTCCAGTCCATCGAGCGACTCCTTCTCCTTTATAGTTAGACTGGGAGTAAGCTCTTCGCCGTCTCCACTCGCTTTTTCCGCCGCCATTTTATTTTCGTCATCATGGAAGGTAGCAGTGGCAGTAGGGAGAGACAGTCCGCCGGATTTCATGAAAATGCAACAAATTTACCACCACCACTATGTCTCTCAGCCTTCCCAACTTCACCTTACCAAGATGTTAAAATAACACCCTCAAACGCAGCTTGACATTGCAAGTCCAACTTTATCTCCTCTTTTGGCAAAGACACACACACACACACACACACACACACACACACACACACACACACAAAGCAAAGGCAAAAGCTATAAACGTAGGAACAGCAGAGCTCCGCGGCAACTTATATCAGCTGGCAGACGATTAGTAGAAGAAGACCGAAGAATTAGGGAGAAATTCTTAGAACATTAAACTTAGCGAGCTGCAGCATAACGTAGTGGTGATTGTGTCAAAAGGTGAACCCTCCTCAGAGGCTGTGTCTTCTCCCCACAACTAGCCAGGTTGACCTATGGGAGCTAACGGATCCTCTCACGTGACCTTTGTTGACTTACGTCAGCAATGGTGCAACTAAACTTGCTAGCTGACAAACTCCTCCCTAGAGAGGTGCAGCTGCTGACCGAGAAACACACATTTACTTCGTGGGTAGCGTTGTTGGACATGCTTCGTGGAAATACGAGGATAGAACATAGTATTAGCTACTCGTTGGTCAGAGAATGAAAAGTCCAGGCCGTATTATTTTAGTCTGTTGGCCTTACAAAAACGAAATGAAAAGCATACTATAAATCAACAATCTCTAGCTGTGGATTCGAATACCAAATGAAGACACTAACTTTATTTTATCTACTTTTTTCTTTGTGACGCAAAACCTTGCAGACTCTTATGTAGGACCTGGAAGATCTAGAAGATGATCACTTTAAAGCAAAGGGCTTAACCAATTACATTAGCCTGCAGATGTCTTCCTCGAAGGAATGAAAAGTCATCCAGCAGGCTCCAAAATTCAATTGATGCATTGATGTCAAATATTAGTGTTATTTGTGTTTAGCAGTTCTTATAATGTCTAGAAAGAAACAATACAAAATAGTTGTAAGACAGTTGTTACGACTTATCAGCAAAATTTTATTATTTTATTGTAATATATTCATTATTTTATTGCAATCTGACAGTGAGAACCTGATAGAACAAACAGGAGCTCCTTCTTATATGACTTATAAATAGGATTTTAGGAATCTTTCTATAAGAGATTACAGGGGGCTGGGAAGGTGGCTCAGTGGTAAAGCGCTTACCTAGCACGCATGAGGTTCTGGGTTCAATTCCTCAGCACCACATAAACAAAAAAAGCCAGAAGTGGTGTTGCGGCTCAAGTGGTAGAGCGCCAGCCTTGAGCTGAAAAGCTGAGGGAAAGCGCCCAGGACCAGAGTTCAAGCCCCACAACAGCAACAACAACAACAAAAATGATTACAAGGGGCTGGGAAGCTGGCTCAGTGGTAGAGCGCTTGCCTTGCATGCATGAGGCCCTGCGTTTCATTCCTCAGCGACACATAAGCAAAAGAAAAAAGCCGGGAGTGGCGCTGTGGCTCAAGTGGTAGAGCACTAGCCTTGAGCTGAAGAACTGAGGGACAGCGCCCAGGCCCTGAGTTCAGGCCCCACGACCGGACCAAAAAAAAAAAAAAAAAAAAAAGAATATTACTTCATTTAACATTGTCCAGCTCTATCCATTTCCCTGTAAATGACATATCTTCTATGCACACATATTCATACCTACATCATATTTTCTTAATCCATATATTGATCAGCTCTGGGCTGCTAAACCTATCATGAATAGTGCAGCAATGAATATAGATGAATATCTTTAGTGTATCCTAACTTGTAATATTCTGGATGGATGCCTAAGAGAGCAATAGCTAGATCACAGTGTAGTTCTAGTTCTGTTTTGTTATATGAGAAATCTCCAAACTGCCTTCCATGGTTGTTACACCAATATACATTCCTTACATCTCTGCCAGCATTTTGTTGTTGTTGTCCTTAATTGTGGGACAAGAACTAAGGATCTGAATGCTATCCTTGAGCTTTTTTTTTCCCCTCAAAGCTACCATTCTCTGTGACTTGGAATGCTTTACCACTCAACCACAGTTCCATTTCTGCTTAGTTGGAGATAGAGTCTCACAGACTTTCCTCCTGGGGTGGCTTTGAGCTGTGGTCCTCAGATCTCAGCCTCCTTTTTTTTTTTGGGTCCAGTCGTGGGGCCTGAACTCTGGGCCTGGGCACTGTCCCTCAGCTCTTCAGCTCAAGGCTAGCGCTCTACCACTTGAGCCACAGCACCACTTCCAGCTTTTTTCTTTTTGCTTATGTGGTGCTGAAGAATCCAACCCAGGGCTCTGGCATGCAAGGCAAGAGCTCTACCACTGAGCCACCTTCCCAGCCCTCAGCCTCCTTATTAGCAGCACCTGGCTTGTTTTGTATTCTTGATAATAGCCATATAGTTGACAATGAGTTGTTTTGATTTACACCTGGGGAGGTGAAGCCTTCTTCATGTGTTTATTGGCTATCCTTACTTCTAAGAAGTCCTATTTAGCTCTTTTTCCAATTAATTGGATTATTGATTTGGTTTAGTTTCCTTCCTTATTGCTTATATGTTCTGGATATTAATCCCTTATCAGATTATAGCTGGTAACACTCTTCTCCCTAGAATGAAAAAACACAACAACTGATGTTGGTAAATATTAAATGTGTAAGGTAATTATATAAGCTAAACATGGTACTGCACTGGTACTTGTAAGGTCCGCTCCTGGATGGCTAGCAGACTCCACCCTCCTCGCAGCAAAGTCTCCACCCAGTACCTGCGTTACCTAGGCAACTGGGACACCTGGAAGAGGTCACATCTGCATCCGCTGAGGTCACATCTGAATTTGATGTGGCCACACCTTTCCCCGCCCATACTGTACATAAGGCCTAGCCCAGGCCCAGAAGCTCTCTTGCTCTTGGCTCTTCTTTTCTAGCTCGCTTGCTCTTGCTCTTCTTTTCTAGCTCTCTTGCTCTTGCTCTTCTTTGCTCTCTCTCTGCTCTAGCTCTTTCCTCTCTCTTTCCCAGCCACGTGGAGTGCCAACCTTGCCTGGTCCCAGCAGGTCTACTGAATAAACCTACCCCTTACCTGAATACCACATGTGTGCTGGTGCTGTTCTTACTCGGCTACCTCTTTTTAAAAACCTAACAGTACTCACATCTTTAATCCTCCAATCAGGAGGCTGAGTACCCTGAGATTTCAAGCCAGACCAAGCAGAAAACATAAAAGATTCTGCCTCTTATAGACCAGCAAACTACCAGACTAGAAGGGTGACTGAAGTATTGGAGCATCAGGCACAAGCAAAAAAGCTTAAGAGAAAAAAGGTAAATTAGACTCAAAGCTAGAAGATCATGTAGTCTTAAGTTGGGTTTTTATGAAGCATGAGTCTGTATCTTACTCAGGAGGCTGAGGTCTGAGGATCTTCGTTCAAAGCTAGTCTAGGCAGGAAGGCCCAGGAGACTCCTATCTCCAATTAACCACTAGAAAACCAGAAGTGGTGCTGTATTTAGTTCAAAGTGGTAGAGAGCTAGGCTTGTGCAAAATAAATCAGGGACAGAGGCTGGGAAGGTGGCTCAGTGGTAAAGGGCATGCCTTGCATGCATGAGGCCTGGGTTCGATTCCTCAGTACCACATAAGTAGAAAAAAAAAAAAAGCTGGAAGTAGTGCTATACCTCAAGTAGTAGAGGGCTAGTCTTGAGCTAAAGAGCTGAGGGACAGTGCCCAGGCTCAGAGTTCAGGCCCCACAACTGGACCCACAAATATGGTATATAACATGTGAACACTGTTATATATTACAGACTGTGGTAGACAATTTGCTCCAGGGAAGTTAGAATGAACTTGTGACTTTGAAATTATGTAATCACTTAATCACAATCAAAAAAAAAAAAAAAAAGAACCTCGGGGAAGGGAGGGAGGGAGGGGATGGTAGGGGGAAAACAATGGAGGGGGTAACAATGTTCAAGAGGAAGTGTACTCATAACCTCACTCATGTAACTGTGACCCTCTGTATAGTAGCTTTACAATAAAAAAAAAAAAAAAAAAAAGAAAAAAAAAAAAGGAACTCAGGGACAGCGTGGACCCTGAGATCAAGCCCTGTGACTAACAAAAATAAATACAAATCATATGGTCCAGATTGTTGATAATTCAATTAATATAATGTAAGTGTTATAATCTTAATAACTATGAATAAGAAATGTTGTATGTTTATGCTTCTGATAATACAGAATAATATTTACCAAAATAAACACCAGGAAATGGAAACAAGAAGTTTTATCTTTTTTTGTTGTTTTTCTTTTCTTTTCTTTTTGCTTTGTTTATGTCTTTAGGAATGTAAGAGGAGGCCCAGAAATGGAGGGTAAAAGAGTAAACAAATGCAGCAATGGTACTCACTGGACACTATGTTGAAAATGAACTATATAACTTGTAGGTAGGATGAGAAGGAAAAACTGGGAGAGAGCAACAGAAGGGGTAACATTGCCCTTTTTGCCTGGCTTATGTAACCATAACCTTTCTGTTTATTAATTTTGTGCATATATAATGATTCTGTTATTATGTTATTCACCAATAAAAATGAGTTATAGCTTGGTAGCTCATGCCTGTAATCCTAGCTGAGGCTGGCTTACCAGGCTCGTCCGAAATCAGCTTCCTGAATAACTAGCATTATAGGCATGAGCCACCAACATCCAGTTCTATAGCTCCTTGTAAATATATACACATATATATGAAAATACATGTAATTAATGAAGACTATTTTTATCTTAGAACTTTTTGGTTTTATCCCATTTTAAGATGTATTCCTATTTTCTTTTTTGTCCAACTTTTAAATTTTCATTTGACCTGTGAGTTGCTTACAAGTGTGTTGATTTGTATATTTTTGAAAATTTCTCCCATAATTTCTAGTATCATGTCATGCTGTTGTTGGAAAGGTTATCTAGTATAATTTGAATCTTAAATTTTGTCATATATACTGCTATAATGTTTCACTGCCAATTGACTAGATTTTCTGTACGTGGGTTCTATTTGAGATACACACACACAAACACACACACACATACACACACACAAACACACGCACACTGTTCAATTGCTGATTTTTTGCTTGGATATTCTAGCCATGATTGAAAATGGGGAAGTAAAAATTTTCCAATTACTTATATATGACTATCTAGTTCTCTCTATAGTTCTGTAAATATTCTTTTTTTTGGGGGAGGGGGGGTTTGGTTGTGGGGCCTGAACTCTGGGCCTGGGTGCTGTCCCTTAGCTCTTCCGCTCAAGGTTAGAGCTCTACCACTTGAGCCACAGCACCACTTTCAGCTTTTTTTTTTTCTACTTATGTGGTGCTGAGGAATCAAGCCCAGGGCCTCATGCATGCAAGGCAAGTGCTCTATCACTGA